AGGCCTGGTCCAGTAGGATGTAGACCTCATGGTCATTGCTGGCTTTGTCAGGTTTACAACAAACCCCCAATTAAAAAAAAAAAAAAAAACAACAGGTAAAAAGTTATTACTTCCCAAGGGCCTACTATATTCTCATTTCCATCAACTGTCACATTACCCTATGGGACAAGTCCTCACTTTAGAGATAGAGGATTGACCCAGAAAATAAAACAACCTGCCCAGGGTTTCACAGCTGGTGAAGAGCAAGCTCTTGCAGACTGGGTCCCTCTGGATGGGGTGAGCCCTTGTGAACAAAGCCCGTTCTACCTTTCCTCTTTAGGTTCACCTAGTCTTTGGTTTATACCAGTGATTCTGTGAGACCACATATATCTCACCAACTCCATGCCTGCCACCCTGCTCTACAACTGGAGGTTAGGCATGACTCAAAGGCAGGAGGCTCAAAAAGGCAGGAGTTCATCACTGGATTTATCATCTACTGCACAGCAGAAACAACTCCCTGCCTAGAGAGCTAAATTCTTCCATTGACCTGCCAATCTGGGCAATTGGTGCCCCACTGAGAGAAAGTGCTCGGTCTCCTCCTCCAGCTCCTCCTCCCAGACTAAAGATGTACTCACACAATAAAGTCTAGCTCCCACCAACCACTATCCAGATTCCCCTGGGATAACGGATGATGCATGAATTTGCCTGCAAAGACCGGAAAGCATCATAACTCAAGCAGTGCGGAGGGCAAGCTGCCTCAGATTCTTGAGATAACTGAAATTGACCCATAACTCACCCGCCACTGTGGGAAATCCTATCACTTTGCACCCTTCACTTCCGTAGCTAGAAATCAAGCCAGGGGATATGATCAGAATGCTAATTTGGAACCTCAGACATGCAACGCCATCTTTAATGACTCTTGGCAAAGGATACTCATTAGAGATCTCGGCTCATCTAAATTAAAACATGACACCTAGAGATTAAGCATAGAAATTCCAATTTCCCAGCCTCATAACAACCATGGGAAACTCACACCATGGGAATACAGCTGCTCCTCGGGGCTTTGCTACATTTGTAAATATTTCAGTGAGATCCATGAAAAGGGAAGCCAGGGAAAGGAGTGAATAGACCTGTCAGGTCCTAGCTGGAGTTGTGGGCCATCCGAGCAACAGTTCTTCATGGCCGATTTAAACCATCCCTTCAAGGAAGATCATCTCTCTGCCGATGGCCAGAATCATCTGTTCTATGATACAAAGCTCAGATTCCAATGACACAGCAGGCTGCTGGCATCGGGGTCCTGCAATTGAAACTGCACTGGAAGACAGTACAGTCAGCCAGCCTCGTGCTGGGTATGTAAGATGCTGTGCTGATAACAGTCTCATCATTGGTTCTAAACCTCACTCAGTATCTATTTCCAGAAGATTGGGAGAAACACTCAATACCCTCCAAGAGACTGTTCTAAACCTCTCCCCTCTGCCACGGCCCACAGAACACACACACCGACAGCTTTCCCCTCTGTACTTGACTCCATTCTTCTTAGGCTCAAGAAGAGGGAGCCACTCCTGGTCTGCCGCAACACCCCAGTATGCAAGCCAGAATCATCAGTGTAAAGCTGGATAGTAGACATCACAACTCACAATCTGCCTTCCCTTAACAGACCATACACTCAGAAATATAACATGAAACCCACAGGACAAAGCTGGGTGTGGTCATGTATGTCTGCAACCCTAAGGCAGGGAAGGCAGAGACAGGCAGATCCCAAGAGAATGCTGGCCAGTCAACCTAGCCAATCAGTGACTTCCAGGTTCAGTGAGAGACTGTCTCAGAAGATAAGATAGAGAGCAGTTGAGAAAGACACCCATCATTTACCTCTGGCCTCTACATGAATGAACACCCATGTACAAATGCACTCACACATGCACTGCACAGACACACATGTACACACACACACACATAAACTACACAAACACACACACACATACACTAGGCATCCATGCGCACCCACATACAACACTGAAAAACAAAGGAACAGTCTGTAAATGACACAAAGGTAATCAGTGTTTTAATTCTTCTTTTCAATCAAAAAGCCTCCCCTGAGCTTTCCCCTGGGCACCAGGGCTGAGTCTCTCCCTGGATTCTGAAATTCAGCTGTTGAACCTGGAAAGGCCACCTCAGAAAAAAACACAAGCACTTCAAGTATAGATGGCAAACTGGAAAGAGCCTTTAAAATATGGAGAGGAGCTGGGTGTGGTGGTGCACGCCGGTAACCCCAGCACTTGAGAGGCTGGTTTCCTGATTTCAAACCCAGTCTAGGCTGCACAGCAACACCTTGTCTCAAAAACAAAACAACAAAACCAAAACAGGGCTGGGTGGATGGCCCTGCTGGGAAGACCCTTATTGATCTTATAGAGGACTCAGGTTCAGTGCTCAGAACTCACATCTAGCAGTTGACAAACACCAATAACTCTGTTCTGGTGGGTCTGATGCCAATCTGACCAGCCTTCTTGGTCACCTGCATGCACACGGGGCACACAAACTCACAAAGGCTTCTGTACACACACAGAAATGTGCTTTAATTGACAAATCTAGAAGAGCAAGGAACTTTCCAGTCTTGCCTGCTGCAGAAGCTAGAACGGGAACCTGTTCTTGCAGTTGCCTTTCCATCCTCATCACTCCAAGGGCCTCACCTTTGGAGCCTCCACAGGGTCACCATTTGTTCCTGACCATGACAATGGCAGGTACGTTTTATCTATCTCTGTAGTTGACATAAGTCGAGGATCTTTCTTGGGGAAAAATAAGTTAAATAAGGGGGCTGGAGAGATGGCTCGTAAGCGTGTATACTGCTCTTCTAGAGGACCAGGTGGGTCAAACTACCTGTGACTCCTGCACATTGCATCCAGTGTCACAAGTCTTCTGGCCTCCAAGAGCACATGTACTCCTGTACACACATAACTATACACAGACACACACTTTAAAATGAAAAAAAACTTTAAAAAATTGATTAAATAAAACCAAACAGACACTTATCTGTTTCACTATATGAAACACAGCCACCTTGGAACAAGGAAACTGCCCTGGTCACTATGGTGAGCCGTCCAACTGACCCCGCAGAAGCCTCCAGAAAAACGTCCCTCCCAAGTACATCAGAGAGGCAGAGAACCCAAGCAGGGCTCCCACCAGATGTTTGTGACATGTTCCCAAATCATCCCTGGTCCCCACTACTGACTGATGAAGCGACCTTTCTGAGCGGGTCACAGGATGACAACTTCCAGTGAGGTTCATCTCAACAAAACCTATACAGCCTTGAAAAGAGCCCCAGCATTCTCTGGTCTTGCCATTACAAAGGCCAACCTGGAGCTTGATGAAATGACAAAGGAAATGCAAGGGAGCTGCTTAACAGTCCTACTATAACTAGAGGAAACTTCCAACCCCACAGAGCAAGCCGGAACATGACTAAAATGTTCATAAAGAAGCCCAGGTCTTGGACCCACTGCCAGTAGTCTCATATACAACACTAATGCATAAACTGAATTAGTGGAGCCCATTCTATCTGAAGAGATGCCTTGCCCAGCCTAGACCCAGGTGTGTGGGGGTGGAGAGGTGTCTTAGTCCTGCCTCAACGAGATGATGGGACAGACTTAGTAGACTTCCTAGGGGAGACCTTACCCTCTCCATGGAGCAGATGGGAGGAAGGGGCAGTGGGGGGGAGCAGGAGGAGAGAAGGGGGGAAACTGGGATTGGAATGTAAACAATAAATTAATAAAAAAAGGAAGAAAAAAGAAAGAAGCCCAGGTCACTCCACTTGTACATGCAACATTGCATGCTGCCTGTGTCCTTCAGAAGAGCAACACTGGGTAAAGTGGCATTCACTGAGTTCTCCTGCTACCCCTGTCTTAGGTCTTGTGTCTACAGAGATGAATGAGGCAGAACAGCAACTATGAACAGGGCCAGAATTAGAAAGAGAACCAAGCAAGCAAGGGAACCAAAGCCCAGGTTCTAAGTAGGCACTGACTCCCCCTGCTGAGCCAGTGCCCACCCTGAGCTTGTTCCACTGGGTCTGTGATGGCAACAGCAATCCTGACCCTTGCTACACACTGGACATGCTCAGAAAAACACAGATGCAAACAAGTCCTTCTGGAAAACAGCCATCAAAAATGACAAGGGACTTGAAGATCTTTAGGAACAAAAATCCCAGGCCAATCGTAAGTTTGGGGTGCAAAAATCAGTAACGGTGAAAAAAAAAAAACTGAAAGAAAACATCAGCCTATCACACGAAACCTTGCACGGGAACAATACAAAGTTGAGGGCTAACATTGGGAAACATCTGCTGTGGCTTGCCTCATCGTCCAAAGAACTTCTGGAGACGTGTGTGCAGTGCTGGCCTAGGCTGTTACACTCAGCCCATTTTTAGTCAACAGTGTGATTTACATGGTCACTTCTCAAGGAAAACATCATAGGATGTCTGTGATGATATCTATTGTCAACTTGACCAGGTCCATATTCACCTGGGAGACAAGCCTCCAGTCGTACTGTCTTGGGTAGGTTAGCTAGGGTGGGAAGACCCACCTTAAAAGCAGGTGGCACCATTCCCTGGGCTTGTGTCCTGGGTTGCATAAAAAGGAAAAATCCAGCTTAGAGCCAGAATTCACTGTACTCCACGTCCTGGTTGCAGATGCAATGTGACCAGCTGCCTCCCAAGCCCCAAGCCTGGGACTTTCATGTTGGTCTTTATACTTAAACCATGAACCACAATGAAGCCTTTTTCCTTCAATTGCTTTGGTCAGAGTATTTTATCACCGCCATGAGACAAGTCCTGTGTGTGTCCTGCCTCACTTACCACCTCCGTGGCTTGATGATAACCCTGTGAGGGTCAGACAGCATGGACTGTCATCACGTTAGCAGCATAAAGAATGTGTGCTACCAAATGTGGCTTTGGTTTAGGGGAAGAACAGTCACCAAACTCTGAAGCCAGCAAGCCCACTGAACACACCCAAAAGATTCAAGCAAAGCATAAAACTGACCTCCACATCCCAGTAAAGCTGAACATGGTGCTCACACAGCGGGGAAGGGGCGGCGGTGTGAGTCCATCCAGGTGCATGAGGAGAGCGGGAACACCAAAGAGCACCAAGTATTTCACATAGAAGAAGAGTACCTGGGCCAGGGCCAGTCCTCCTGAAAGGCAAAGGGACCCGTCAGCAACACCAGTGAAAGACACAAGTTTCCTGAGACTGTCTTACTTTCCCGCCAGTCCCTTCTTGACCTCCACAGTCTTGGGCATTTTCACTTGGTCCCTAGTTATTCCTGTTTGGGGAAAGTTAAGAGCTGCAGCCTCAGTGGAGGAAGTGTGTCACTGGGGCTAGGTTTGAGAGGGAAAAGCCATGTACTTCTAATTCATTATCCTTCCTGCTTGTGATTCAAGGTGTGAACACTCAGCTTCCTGCCCTGTAGTCACGCCCAGCTCCTACTTCCTGTCCCCACCACCACTGACTCTAACCCTCTGGAACCATGAGCCCAAATAAACCCTTCCTTCTATAAGATGCCTTCCTATGGTATTTTATCACGGCAACTGAAAAGTAACTAACAAATATGAGATCACCTTTATCACTGTCACAAGCAAGAGAACCTCGTCACAAGTCATATTTTTAATTAAAAAAAAAAGAATTTTATTTATGTGCGTGTACTTGTGTGTGTAAGCACGTATTGCCACGGTGTATATGTGGGAGCCAGCGAACAGCTTCCACTGGAGCTGGTTCCACCATGGAGATGCTGGGGGTTAAACTCATCAGGTCATCAGGTTTGATGGCAAGTGCTTTTATCCATGAGCCATCTGGACAGCGCCACCTTGCTTCTGAGACAGGCACTGTCAACAGGACCTGGGACTTTCAGAGCAGATAGGGCTGGCCAGTAAGCCCCAGGGATTTGCACAGGAAGACCTTTACCACCTCCCTAGCCATTCCTGTCACCTTTGTGGGGAGGGGCAGGGGTGTTGTTTGCATATCGTGGGATTAATCCATTTAGGGTGTGTAACTCAAGGAAATTTTACCATATTTACAAACGTGTGCAACCACCATCTCTCGCCAATTATAGAATATTGTATCACTTCAAAACCAAATCTTATCCATTGTCACAGGCAAGAGGACCCTTCGATCCTCGTTTTTTTGTTGTTGTTGTTTTTTGGTTTTTGGTTGTTTTTTTGGCTTCGTGTTTACCCTGAGCTGCATACGAATGAGTGCTACCTTGCAACACATATTCAGGCTGTCCCAGATGACACATTCTCCCATGGAAATAGTTACATGAACTTTTATAGTCACAGAATACAAAGAAGTCACAAATCAAGGTGGGACAAACATGGAAACAGTATATCTCTCTCCCATGGCAGGCACTTGCAACCCCAGATCCCTGGAGCTCAGAGGCCGGCCAGCCAGCACAGCCAAATCTGGGAGTTTCAGGTCCAGTGACAGACCCTTGACCTCCAAGGTCAACTAGCTTACAGGAGACTATGGGGCACTTCTTAAAATGTGTTAAAGGTCTGACAAGTCATGCGTTCTCTTGATTGGGGAGCCTTGGAGACCCCACTGAGTGGACTCTAATCAGCATACACTCTGAAAGGGGGGTGTCAGAGTGAAAATACAGAGAGAAAATGTCCTCAGTAGTTCCAAGGAGGGCCCTTGACTTTTGACTCATTGTCACCAGATAAAATGACTGGAAAAATAACCAAAAAAGGTTACAGGATCCCAAGCCCAAGAGACTATTGAGGATCAGACCCTCAACCTGCCTCATCCGTAAAAATAGTTGATTTTGGCCATCAATCGTTTATAACTCTGGTTCCATGGTATCTGATGTCTTTTTCTGGCTTCCTCAAGCACAAGGCAAACTACATACATGCAGGCAAACACTCATACACATAAAATAAAAACAAATTTTTAAACTTAAAAAAAAATGGTGGGGGCTGGAGAGATGGCTCAGAGGTTAAGAGCATTGACTGCTCTTCCAGAGGTCCTGAGTTCAATTCCCAGCAACCACATGGTGGCTCACAACCATCCGTTATGGGATCTGGTGCCCTCTTCTGGTGTGCAGATATACATGGAAGCACAATGTTGTATACATAATAAATAAATAAAATCTTTAAAAGAAAAATGGTGGGATGGCTTCCTGAGGAATGACTTCCAAGGTTTATCTCTGGTCTCCACAAGCATGCACACCTGTTATTTAATGCATGCACCACACACTGACACACACACACACACACACACACACACACACACACACACCACACCACACACACACACACACCACACACACACATACCACACATTTACACACACACACCACACACACATATACATACCACACACACACACACACATACACACCACACATACACACACACCACACACACACACCACACATACACACACACCACACACTTACACACACACACCACACACACACACTACACACACATACACACACACACCACAGACACACACACACACACACACACACACATACACACAAACACACACTCACGCACATGCACCTACATACATCCAAATATACATACACACAAAAAAATGCCAAGAAAAAAGCTGGCATGTGTGTGAATATATATGTACATTACATATATACTATATGTGCTGGCTAGTTTTATGTCAACTTATACGCTACAGTCATCTGAGAGGAGGGAACGTCAATTAAGAAAAATGCCTCCATAAGATTGGACTTCAGGCAAGCTGTCCATAGAGCATTTTTCTTAACTAGTGATTGGTGGGGGCGGGCCCAGCACATTGTGGATGGGGACACCCCTGGGCTGTGGTCCTGGGTTCTATAAGAAAGCAGGCTGAACAAGCCATGAGGAGCAAGCCAGTAAGCAGCTCCCCTCCATGGCCTCTGCATCAGCTCCTGCCTCCAGGTGCCTGCCCTGTCTGAGCTCCTGCCCTGACTGCATTTAATTATGAACTGTAATATAGAAGAGTAAGCAAAATAAACCATTTTCTCTCCAAACTGCTTTTGGTCATGGTGTCTCAACATATCGACAGAAACCCCAGTTAAGACACTATATATTCATCAAGATACATACATGTGCTAGGCACACCACCTTAGACACACTGAATGTGACACACAGTGAACATAACTGCTCCATGGATAAAATGGCAGCAGCAAGGTATGCTCTGAGGCAGGCTCTGCTCGGGGACAGTCCGGAGCAGGGGTGGCAACATGTTCAAGCTCCCACAGCCAAAGATGACCAGTCTGTAGACACACAAATGTCAGGTGCTCAAGGTCACCCCCGGCTCTCAGAGACAGGAAGCAGGGGAATGTCCTGAGCTGTTAGCAGGAGGCTGGAGCTTGGGAATGATGGGATGCCTCTTGTCTCCAGTCCTGCCGACACTGGCTCATGCAGGTGTCATTCTGAAGCTGAGGAATTAAAACCCGTGGGTGAGTATATACCTTTATGAGTCATCATTTGCACAAAACCTTCATCTTTGATTGGCACTTTTCACAAACAACGGGGCTAAAGAAAGGATTTTGTGTGGGCGTTTAACATAACTGTGGCTGAATCTAACTGAAGATAATTGAGTTTTTTCCGGGTATGGATGAAAAACGTGAGTCACATGTATTTGTAATTACACAACACAAGCTCTATTTACCTGTTGGTGAATAATTCTAATAGATTAAGATGGGGGTGTTGCAGGGAGCTTGGCGGTGCAAGCCTTTAACCCCAGGAGGCAGAGGCAGAGGCGGGTAGATGTCTGTGAGATTAAGGACAGCCTGGTCTACACAGCAAATTCCAGGCCAGCCAGGCCTGCCTAGTGAGAACCTATCTAAAAAAGGAAAAGATGCAAGGAGACTGGAGTAATGGCTCCGTAGATAAAGTGCTTCTGTGCAGGTGCCTGAATTTTCATCCTCAGCACCCACATAAGTGCCTGCAGTGAGAGCCACTCGGGAGACACAGAGACACGGCGACAAGGAATCCCCAAGTCAAGCTGTCTAGCTAGAGCAGATAAATCATCGAGCCCTGGGTTCCAGTGAGAGGCGTATAAAACCATACGTGGCAGATACAGCTATAAATCTCTGAGGCAGTGATCTCTTACAGCAATGGAATACTCAGATTAATATTCCTCCAATGTCAGATACAAATTATGTACAATCTTTAGATAGTAGAAAAGATCTGGTAAGACATTATGGAAAACATTTACCAACCACCCATGCTGTACAGAAACTAGGTACAAATGATGGACCTT